GAGCCGCCAGGTGGGCGCCGGGGAGGGCCCGCGGCCGCCGTGCGCCGCATCCCGCGCCCCAGCCCGGGGTCTGCGCGCTTCCCTCCCGCTGACTTCGACTGTCCGCCGGGGTCTCGGCCAGTGGGCGCCCGCGTGGTCTCCGCCCGAGGTCTCGGGGCTCCCCGCCCGGCGCCCGTGGTCTGCACTGCGCGCTCCTCGCCAGCTCTCCGCCCGACGTCTGGGCTCGCGCTGCCGTCGCTGCCGTCGCTGCCGCGGGCTTTGTCTCTCTGGCCCCGGGGCCCCGGCGGCTGCGCTCTCGGGCTCGCAGCCCACCGGGCCGGGGTTTGCCGCCGCGCCCGCAGGGTCCCCGCCTCGGAGCGCGGGCTCCCCGGCTCCAGCTCGTTTTCCACACGCCGCTGGTCCCCGGCGACCTGCATTCCTCAGGTTTTCTCTCGTGTCTCTGTCACCCTCGGTCTCTCAAGGTCTCCTGCATCTCTCTATCTCTGTCTCCTTGTCTATCATTTTGCCTCTCTCTGCATCCGTCTCCCCGGGAATTCGCTTCGGGCCTCGCTCCGTCTCTCGGGGTCTCTGACGCCACCTCTCCTTTTTTCGTTCTCTCTCCGGGTTTTTCTGCCTCTCGGCGTCCCCGCACCTGCCTCCCTCCTTTTCGTCCCCCCCTTCTTTTCCCATCTCAGGTGCTCCCTACCCCGCAGGGTCCCCCTCACTCTCTGCCTTCCCGGGGTCCCCTCCGTGTTGACCCGCGTTGGCCGGCGCTTCTCCTTCTCGTCTGGGCTAGTCTCTGTCTCCGAGTCTCTGGGTCCCTTGTCTCTTTGGGGCCCCCAGGGGACACTCGGGCCCTCAGCCTTGGTCGGTCCAGGCTCATGGCCGTGGCCCACCTGGCCGAGCCCAGCTCGTTTTCTCAGAATTAGGGTTTTGTTCTGAAACGAATCCAGACCAAAGCACATCGAATCCGAGGGTCCGGGATCCGGTGTCTCCGGGGCGACCTCGGGCCTGGATGGGGGAGCGGGGCGCGGGGCGCGGGCGGGGGTCTGAGAGGCCCGAGGAGGGGGCAACACCAGGCACGTCTTGATGGGGGGCTCTCCCCGGTCGCGTCCTAACGGTGGCCCGCTGTGGGCAGCTTTGACCAGACGGTGTGTGTGTGGGGGGGAGACAGTGGGGACCCGCGAAGAAGAGGTGGCTGCGGAGACGCGCGGCCGCGGTGCGCGAGATGCGCACGACCCGGGTCCGCGGCTCAGCCTGTTGCCATCCGGTCGCAGTGACTCCTTCTTCCCTCGCAGGCAGACGCCGCGGGCATGGACTATTCATACGACGAGGACCTGGACGAGCTGTGCCCCGTGTGTGGGGACAAGGTGTCCGGCTACCACTACGGACTGCTCACGTGCGAGAGCTGCAAGGTGAGGGGTGAGCGCGGGGAGGAAGGTTGGGGTGCGCAGTGGGAGGAGGCAGGGCCGCTCCCGCGCTGACCCCCCTCTCCGCCAGGGCTTCTTCAAGCGCACGGTGCAGAACAACAAGCACTACACGTGCACCGAGAGCCAGAGCTGCAAGATCGACAAGACGCAGCGCAAGCGCTGTCCCTTCTGCCGCTTCCAGAAGTGCCTGACCGTGGGGATGCGCCTGGAAGGTGCGCGGGCCTCTCAGTCCCGACGCCAGGGGGTGGGCGCCTGGGACACTGGCGAGGGGGGAGCGGGTACAGGAAGGTACTCTCCGGCCTCTTCCAAGCTTCTACGGCCAGGCGTTTGGCCTCCCTCATGATTTGTGGCCTCATCACTGCATTGCGGGGGTGGAAGGCTGGGAGGGAGAGGGGATGAGTCCAACCGCATCCTGGGCCGAGAAGTATCCAAAAGTGACCCGCAGGAAGATGACTCTCTCCTGAGCCTTTGAAAGGGACCCTACCACAGGGTGTGGGACATCCCAGCTTGTTCTCTTTTGCCAGAAGTCATATCCCCTCAACACACACAGAAACACACCTTCAGCTCCAAGGAGAACCAAAGCTTTCAGAGCATCTTGAAATGCCCGGCCCGCTGATGTCCCTGCATTGACAGAGTTGAACGGCCTCCTCTTTTTCCCTGGGAGAGGCAGGGGAGTTCCAGCCTCAGAGCCTTTGGTTAGCAGGCAGTCTTTAACCACTGTGCCACCAGGGCTCCTTTCAACATCTTTGTTGTTATTGTGTATCATGGAATCTGAACCGACCCATAGCTAACCCTCCAGTGGGTGTTCAGATGGTCAGCACGTCTACCAGCAACCAAACCATTGAATGATAATTGTCACATTCAGTAGTAACCCCTCTGAGCTTCAGACTTTCCATCTGAAGAATAGTGGTGCCTTCCTCCTTGAGTTAGTGTGAGAGGCATGACTTTGTATGGACAGCCCTTAGTAAATGTGCAACAGGCTACTATTATTATGGTCAGTCTTTATGCTATTATCCACCCACCATCACTGTCCAGCCCTCACTCATCTTGCCTGGCCATCTGTCCTACCCATTCATGCAGCTATCCAAAACCATCACTCATTCATTTCTTCACTGAGTGGATGAGAGGGTTTCCCACCTCTTCTTAGCCAGGTCCTGGGGAATAGAAAACAAAGTGCCCCAGAGGACCCACATTCATTTTTGCCTTCCCACCTCCAGCCCTATCTCCAAGTACAAAGAGAGGAGAGGGTGGACAGTTGTAGAATTCCACACTACTGGCCCCAGTCAGGCTGTGTGCCAAGCAGGCAGCTGTTGGCCAAAGTTTTTGAACAATTTAAAAGGCCTTAAGTGGCTCTGTGAGGAGCTCTTTTTACATTGTGCATGACATAGTACATTGCTAACCTAAAGGCCATTGGTTCAAATCCATCAATTGCTCCATGGGACGAAGATGGGCAGTCTCCTCCTATAAAGATTTATAGCCTTGAAAACTCAGGAGAGGGTCACTATGGCTGAGAATCAACCCAGTGGTAATGGGTTTGGTTCCATTTTAAGTGGCTCCAGAGCTGTAGATAATATTTCCTGGAACTTAATACAGACGCTTCTAGATGGGCAGAGAAGTAGCCTGTCCTGTCCCCAAAGGCCATGTCCCCAGTTCTGGGACCTGGAGGGCCAGGAGAGGTAGTTGATGTGAGTACAAAAATCTTCTGGAAAAGCCAGAGAGCAGCCTATGGAAGATTGGCTGTGTAGATCTCCAGGCTGCCATCTCTCCTGAGTGCCATCCTTTCCCTTCCTGTTCTCTCCTTTTTCCTGGAGCTCAGGGTGGGGTCCTCTCTGAGTGGGGGTTGGAGCCTTGATACAGCTGTAGAGACACACCTGTTGGGTCCAACTGGTGACACATTCTTGGCTAGGAGGAGGAACATCTGGTCGGCAAAAAAGGTCCCCTCCTCCCTGAGCAGAGCCCAAGCCAGGCCCAACCTCAGCTTCAAACTGGATATCAGTGGGGGAGTCCTCAGTCATTCTGCACCTTCAGGGCTTCAACAAAGTGGCTTTGTCAATATTGTCAGTCAACTAACTAGCAGTCAGACACAGCAGCAGTGAATAAGGGGTAATCTGAAGAGGGCGGGGCCTTGAATGCCAGGTTAAGAAGATTGCTTTCACCGGGGGCATTGAGAGCCACGCAATGGTATTGAGCAGGGGATTGGGGTATCGTGGAGGGTTGCTTGGAAGGGTCGAGCCTGACCCGATGCTCCTACCTACAGCTGTGCGTGCCGACCGCATGCGGGGAGGCCGGAACAAGTTTGGGCCCATGTACAAGCGAGACCGGGCCCTGAAGCAGCAGAAGAAGGCACAGATTCGGGCTAATGGCTTTAAGCTGGAAACAGGTCCCTCGATGGAGATACCACCACCACCACCTCCCCCACCGGACTATACACTGCCCCCTGGCTTGCATGCACCTGAGCCCAAGGGCCTGCCCCCTGGTCCACCTGCTGGGCCACTAGGGGACTTTGGAGTCCCTGCCTTGCCCATGGCAGTGCCCAGCACTCATGGGCCTCTGGCTGGCTACCTCTACCCTGCCTTTCCTGGCCGCACCATCAAATCTGAGTACCCGGAGCCCTACGCTAGCCCCCCGCAGCCTGGGCCGCCCTACGTCTACCCAGAGCCCTTCTCTGGAGGCCCTGGGGTACCTGAGCTCATTCTGCAACTGCTGCAGCTGGAGCCAGAGGAGGACCAGGTGCGGGCTCGCATCATTGGCTGCCTGCAGGAGCCAGCCAAAGGCCGCCCGGAGCAGCCTGCACCATTCAGCCTCCTGTGCAGGATGGCTGACCAGACCTTCATCTCCATTGTCGACTGGGCACGTAGGTGCATGGTCTTCAAGGAGCTAGAGGTGAGTCTCCTCCTGCTCCCACTGGGTAGTCATTGTATCTGGGATGTCCCTTTGGATGTCTGAGCCTCAGTCTTGACCATCCCTTGGGATGGGGCCATCTTGCCTGGTTAGCTTTAGGCAATCTAGGGGTACAGAGGCCACACTGAGCCCTGCCTCCCTGTTTGCTCTCCACTCACCCCTTCCTCTTTCTCCTCTTTGACTTTTGACTGTCTCAGTAGTGTTTATTAACCCCCCATCTCTATTGTCTCTTTCTCTAGTTTGCAGTCTCTGTGTTCTTCTAGCCCCTTCCATCTCTATTTCTCCCTCAGTCTCTGAAGGCATTTATCTTTCTTCCCAAAGGACTAGCTAGCTGAGTCCTTGGGGGACTGTTTCTGGCTGCTGTAGATTGATGTCAGAAAGGGGGTTAAGCCCCTCATGTCCTCCCACTCAGAAACCATCTGTCTCCATCAACCTCTACTGTCACAGATCTGAATCTCCGTGTCTCAAAGTTAGGAGGCCTGTGGGCCCTCCTTCCCAACTGAGATGATAGCGCTTACTGTCCCACACCCACACCTCTGTTTCATGATGGTTGAGCCTCTGTGCGTGTGTACAGAAGAGTTAGGAGAGCATGTGTAATTATAGTAGAATGGGAGGGGGAGTGTGTATGGGAAGTTACATGACCTGCCACTGATCCCGGTCTTACTGCCAGGCCTTCACCCTCACAGGTCTAAGTATTGAGCTAAAGAAACAGGAGATACTGAGGCCAGGCATAGGGAAGAACTTCTCAGTGATCCCACCTAAGAGGATCTAATGGAATCTACCCCTTTAGTGCCCTGGCTATCTCTGATCAGGGCATTCTGATAGCCCCAAAGGCCCCCAGCCCCAGTCAAGGCCCATTTCTGATAGGCCTGGATACAGGCACAGGCGCTCTTGGGCTCAGGCCTATCAATGTTTGTGTTCCCAGACCAGCCCCCCGGGGCTGTCCCAGAGCTGGTTGTAAACAGTGGGGCCCTCTGCTCTCTCTACTGGGGACACTGCAGCCTTGAGCAGCATTGTAAGTGCTGATGCCATGAGGTTTGGGCTTCCTCCAGGGCTTGTGGCCAGATGGGCTGGGGGCACTATTTGCCCAGCTAAACCCAGGGGGATTGGAAGCACCATGAAGTTGGAGGCATGACTACTCCGAGTATCAAGAGTTGATGGAAATGCTTCCTTCTTTTGCTATGGAGGGCCTGCCATAGCTGAGGGATAAGCTATTTGTATTTTATACAGATGGTGGGCTTCTCCATCCACCACTGCCTCTTAACCAGGCAGACCCCATGGGTTAGGGCTGTGAACATTCACATTTGTCTTCTACTCATGAGCTCTACTGGGGAGCAAAGAATCCAAGGTCCTTGGATGGATCACTGGCTTCCTTACCAGACTACCAATGAACCCCTGGGCAGAGGGAATGAGAAGTGAGGCATTCCTGGGCTTCCATGGGCAGGGCACTTCCTCTGGCTGCCTTCCTTGTCTCCTGGGGTTTTTCACGCAGGATGGGAAGGGCTTTTGTCCCAGCTTTGCTGAGTGTTTTTTCCTGCTTCTGGATTCTCTGTAGTCCAAACCTTCCTGCTTCCCATTTCCAGAGTCTCTGAATTGAGCCCAGGACTATGAGCCATGACCACCACCCTCTGTAAAAGAGCCTTGTAGATATGTACCAGCCCAGGCCAACCTATAGAGAAACTGTCATCCGCCTCTGCCAAGTGGGACCTGTTTCTCAGTGAGCTCCAGGCTAGTGTTCATTTGCAGAGCCAGAAGTGTGGTGGCAGAAAAGTGGTGAGGGTGCTAAATGACTGTTGTCCCTTTGGATGGATCATTCACCCCTTTACCTCTAGGCAGGATACATCAGGAGAAGAGGGCTCTGAGAATATGTCAGGCTTTGGACTGACAGTGGGGACCTTGAAATTAATTAGGCCCAGGAAGCTGCCAGGCTAAAAGAAGTAGCATATATGTATATAGATAATGCCAATGCAAGGTGCCCAGGTTCCTGAGATCAATGGATGGGGCCAACGGACCTCAGAGGGAGAGCAAATTGCTGCATCTGAGGAAGTCAGAGAGGGTTCTGTGACTTTCATGGGCATTCTAGCCAGTGGGAATGGTAGAGGCTAAAGTCCAGGCATGTACAAAGTGTCCTGTGGGGTGGGGGTGGGGGTTCCAAGCGCTCCTGTTAGCATGGCTGGAGAGGTTCATGGGGTCAGAAGGCAAAGTTTGCCTTGTGAGTGGGACTGAGCTCTATCAAAGGTTCTCTGTGATGCTGATGTTATCCTAGGGTCTTAACTAAGCTGGTAGGGTTGCTGGGAACCAAGATGTGTCTGAACCTGGGTCCAGATGCCTCTTTGGGCTTGTCCTCCTCCAGTCTATTTCCCAGTTGGTTCGCTGTCCCTCTGTCTCTGTTTGCATATCACACAGTCACAGCATCATAGGTCTGGCAGTAGTCTAGAAATTAATAACAAAATCCAGAATCAGAAAGATCTGGCTTCAAGGTCCAGCTCTACCACTTACTGGATGTTAGCTTTGGGCAGTAGACTACTCATCTGGGCCTCAGTTCTTCACCTGTAAAGTGAGAAGTGATTAAATAATATATGCCTCATAGGGTTGCTGTAAGGGTTTAATGAGTCAGGACAGGAAGAGAATTTAGCACAAGGCCTGGCACAAAATAAGTGTTCAGTAAGTGATAGCAACAGCCTCTTACTGTTCCCCTCTCCAAGTGTAATCTGTACTTGCATATGGGAAGGTTCTTGGGTGGAGCAGATTGTTTGCATTCAGCTCCTAGCCAAAAGTGGTTTGAACCTACCCGGGAGTACCAAGGAAGACATGCCTGGTGATCGACTGCTTTAAAGATTACCCACCCACTTCAGTTGAGTTGATTCTGCATCATGGAGACCGGTTAGTGGATTTCTGAGACTATAAATCTTTACTAGGAGAGACTGCCTGTCTTTTTCTCAGAAAATGCCTAGTGGATTCAGACTGCTGAACTTTTGGTTCAAAGGCCAACTCATAATGTAGGCTGCAACCAGAAGACCTTATGAAGCCATTTTATTCTATAAACACCCAGGGTCAAAATGAGTCGTATCAATTTGATGGCCACTTTTTTGTTGTTGTTTTCCATGCTTCCCTGGGCACACTGTAGTTCTGGAGAAATCTGGGGCCCACCTTGCCCTGGGCTTAGAAAGCAACTTCTTACCTGGAAGGTATCAGACAGAAACCCAGCTCTGTCTGCTGCCATGTGGAGTAGTGCCAGAGCCGAGGCTGTTAGTATCCCTGGACGGTGACTGTAAAGGCTGGGCTGAATGGATGGAAGATAGGAATGAGGGAGGGGAAGATAAAGGCCACGAGTGCCTAATGACCCATCCTGACATCGTTCACCCTAGATATCCAGGTCTGAGGCCCTGATTGGCAGAAGATTTAACTGATGAGATCTGAGGTTTCATTTGATCAGCAGTAACTGTCAGTCCAGGGCTGACAAATGATGACCTGCCGACACTCAGTCCAGAGAGCACTGTGGCCAGCCTGCGGCTTGTCAGCCACAGGAGAATTACAGAGCCAACTGGCCATTGGCCCCCAGACTGATCAGACTCCAGGGACTTCGGAGGGGCTTTTCTAGGAGGGAGGTCAACTTGGCACCCATAAATACTCCACCTCCAAGGCAAGCTGTGAAGTGTCATAGTTATAGGAAGATTTGTGGTGGGTTGGCAGGAGAGGTGGGGCAGCCAAGAGGCCAAACAAATAGGAAAGGCCAGTGAGGAACCCTTGCTTGGGCTGGGACTGCAAATGACTTTGTTTCTAGGGAGTCAGGGAGTCCTGAGGGGAGAGGAAAAACCATTACCTTAAGGAGACACCTTCTGAGATAGAAACCAGCCCTCTTTAGTACGTGAGCCTCTTAGTCACCTGCTTTCTCCTGCAGAAGAGTTGGCGGCTGCAGGCCTCTAGCTTTCTTTTGAATAAAAAGAGAAGTGTGTGTGTTTGTCTGTGAGGAAGGTGTTGAGTTTAGTGTCTTTATGTGTCCAGAAGTCTGTGCAGGTATAGAAGCGAGGGCAAAGCCTGGCAGAGAGCCAGCAGTGGTTCCATAGAATCTATGGTTTGTAATATGCATCCCTACATTTATTTCAGCTAAAAAGAGAGAAGAATTCTTTCTCAAATTTCTTAAAACAGGAAACATTGGCTAGGTTGGGAATTGAACCCAGGGTTATTGAGTGCTGAAGCTTTTGCCACTGTATGGAGCTCTCTGCCCCTGGGCCCTATCAGCCCCCAGGGGCAGGGCAGCCCCTCTTGCAGGGTCTGACGACTGGGTGCAGAGCCTGCTCCCAAGGCTTGGCCAGCCGGGTCACTGTGACCCTTTCTGCTTGAAACTCAGGCTGCTTATCTCCTAATTCTTTCTGTTTTATCTTTTGCTTTTTTTCTACCTCCCCACCCTCTATTCCTTCCATCTGGGTGCAATGGTGCCTGCTCCCAAGGGGCCACAATGGGTGGGTGGGTCAGAACTCAGACCCGGGATCCATCTGGGTCATTTGAGGGAAATCTGACTTTTTGGGTTGTTTTTTTTCTCTTCCTTTGATCAAGTGTGACCCTTTGGTAGACACTTTCTACCTGGGTTACAGGAGGTTCCTAAGGAAAGGAGGTCAGCTCCCTTTATGTTACCTTAGGCAAGCCTCAGTTTCCTTATCTGTAGTATGGGTAGAACTCTGATGCCTCATAGGAGAGGGTTGAGGAGTCTGTCAGTGCTGAGATCTGTGATCTGGGTCTGATGGTGGGTGCCTCCCTCCTTGAGAACCGTGGTGGGGAAGTTCTGGCCAGTAGCTCTCTGGGGACTGACCACTCCTCATCATCTTCCTAAGAAGAGATATCTTTGTAGTTTATACCTCTCCATTCCCAGTTTCTTATCATCCTTCTCATCCAGGGTTAGTTGTAGCCACACCTGCAGGTCCCTGTGCCCTGGCTACCTTCTCAGACCAAGCGGCGCTCTCAGAAGAGCTTTCTCCCTGGAGAGGGTTTGACAGGGAGTGGTGTGGTCCCATGACACAGAGATGAGGTGAGGATGGAGCACAAGAAGCCGGGGCCTCAGGCAGGGAAGAGACTCTTTCTCTTGTTCCCCCACCTCGTGGATTAGGACAAGGCTGGGGAAGCTTGTCTGCGTATCTGTCTGCTTGTTCTTTGCCCACTTTTCCTTTTCTCTCCCTCCATCTGCATAAGATAGGCCCAAGGAGCCCACAGGAGGGAATAGACAGAGGGGAGGGAGAGGCCTCCACTGCCCAAAGAGAGAGCCATTCTGCAGATGGGACCAGTTCCCCTGGGGTCGGGGGCCGCCTCACTACCACAGGGGGCTCCAGGTTGCAGGGGGCTCCTCTGTGCTGTTTCCATCTAGTTTGGTGAGCAGATTTGCTCAACTGTCCTTTCATCCTTCTTCTCGAAGACCTAGAGACAAACTGGACACAGTTCCTTCCTTTTCAGATCCCACAGAGGGAGACACAGACCTGACTTGGTGCCATCAACTGTTGTGGGTCTCCTGTCCAGAGGGTCAGGAGGGCTATGAAGATGGAGGCGGGGTTAATGAGGGCTTTGTGAAAAAGGTGACAAGAATATAAGAGACTATAAACACCTGGATGTCAAGGATGATATCTTCTTCCATGGCCTACAGCCAGATAGTGCTGTGTGATCTTAGGAGAGTTGCCTGACTTCTCTGTGCTCAGTTTCCTGTCTCTTTTGAACCGTGGAACCAGCTTCATTGGGGTTGTAGTGCAACAACTGTTACCTCTCTCATAGTTTGCTTTTGCCACAGGGCATGACCCAGGGGTGCCCAAGAAGTTTCTGTAGGATAGCTGTGGATGCTGGGAGAGACTGGGGTCTCTATTGTGTCTTCCCTGAATCACCTGCAGCACTTGGCATGGTTCTGAACATCCAGGGGCTCAGCATTATTTTCTGTGGAGAGTTGTGGACTGAGAGTGCCAGCCTGTCTCTCACTCTCTCTTAGTGGCAGATTTCTCATCTTTAAAATAGGGCTTTGGGTTAGGGGAGCCCTAAGGACTCTCTCGTACCTATGTTTCCAAATTCTGGGTTCCACTTGTCATTGTGACAAGCATCTGCCCTTCCTGGGCTGAATGATCCCCCAGAGTCTCTGTCCTGCCCTGTGTCCCCAGCTGCAGCTCCTTGTTCTGCTCTGACCCATGTTGCTGTCCATCAGCTCACTCCCTGGGCCTGACCCCACGAGGGCCCCTCTTCTCAGTGGAAGCCTTCGGCTGCTCCTTCATGTCTTTGTTCTGAACAGTTGAGACTGTCAGAGGTGTGAGCACAGACTCAGTGTGCCCACTGCTAGGTAAGGGTGCTCTCACCTCATGCTTCGAGTCCTTCACAAACCGCCCTCTGGACTTCATTCATTTCAGGGTCTCTGTGAGTTGGAATCAACTTGAAGGCAGTGGGCTTTAGGGTTGTTAGTATGTGCAAGACCAGTACTTGACTCACTTTAAAAATAAGAAAACTGATACAGTGATAGTCAGGTATATGAGGTTACAGTACGTACGTGATGGGTGACACATGTCTTAATGGTCATAATAAACACCTGTTTACTGGCTTAGGAAAAGAAAACTGAGACACAGAAAGGTTATGGAACTTACTTAAGTCCTTATAACTTGTAAGACGCAGGGCTGGAGCCTGAAATCAGGTCCATTCTAGTCTGGCGCCCCTGTGTTGGGCCCTCTTTTACAGTTTTGCTTGACCCTTCCACACCTTTATAAGACAACATGATACAAACCAGGGCACAGAGAAGGTAGGTAGCCTGTCAAGGGGCACAGAGCCAGTTTGGCATCTAAACTGAATATTGAGAGGTGGAGGGTGAAGCCAGATTCTGAGTGGGACCCCTACATGCCTCTTCTTTGCAGGTGGCTGACCAGATGACACTGCTGCAGAACTGCTGGAGCGAGCTACTGGTGTTCGATCACATCTACCGCCAGATCCAACATGGCAAAGAGGGCAGCATCCTGCTGATCACTGGACAGGAGGTGAGTGACCATGCTGTGCCCTGCCCAGGCCACCACTGTGCACTGTTAGAATTCTAGGCCCAGAAAAGTTACTTGGGCCTCTTCAGACCCGGCCCTAGGCGCCCTGATTATCAGCCCCCTCCTCAAAACTCATGAGACAGCCCCTGGCCTGCCTTCCTATGCCCAGCCCTCTGCTGGACACCGGGAGCTGTGGGAAGAGCCAGCCATGGCCCTGTCCTCAGTAGATCTGGGTTGTAGGGAAAATCAGGGGAGGATCTTGGAGGAGATAATGATGGGACCTTGAAAAGCTCACCAGGGGTGGTCAGGAAGGGAAAGGTCAGGATCTGCCCCCACCACAGACAGAGGGAACTGCATGAGCAGAGAGGCTCAGAGGGGACTGTTGGGCCAGCAGGGGTGGCTAGTATGTGACTGCAGGGCTTGACACTGTGCGGGTGGCTTTGAGGTGAGAGTACAGGATGAAGATGTTGGTAAACACTTGGTAGTGCAAGTCCCCAAGGGCTCTAAATCTGGGTGCTAGGAGGTCCTGGGAAGGCTTTAAAGGGAGTGGAATACGGCTAGGTTGATTTGAGAGAGCATGTTGAGGTTCAAGATGGGGGACAGCCACACAACACTGGAGACTTGGGGAGACATATTCAAGGAGGAAGACTTTCCTCCAAGTGGAGAGAGGAGGTGCAGAGGCAGGAGTAAGAGGAGGAAGGAGGTTAGAACCCAGGGTTTAGCTGATGAGGGAGTTGCACTCCCAGACTGGGGGTACGTACAGGAGGAAGAAGGGGCTTGATAGCAGTGAGAGGAGAATGAGACTAAGTCTCTGGGCCCCACCCTTTGGTTCCCCCTAATCTCTGCCGTTACCTTCACTCCTTACCCTCAAAGACTCAGGCCACAGCGGGGGAGGCTGGGTCATGCTAGTGCCAAGGATGGGATTTGGGGACCACATCTGAGTGCAAATATGGGGAGTGTATGGTGTGTGTTACTTGTGTTGGGCTGTATTGACATGCATGGTCAGAGGCTTTAGCAATGGAGATGAATGTCCAGTGTGTGCATGTGCCTGTATTTTGTTGTGGAAATATGTCCACACACATAGATGTAACATAGGTTCACGCACCCTGTTAACCATGGACACCTACAAACTATGTGTCTGTCACTCTGTGATCCTGTTTACTTGAAGTGAGTCTGTCCCCCTGTCAGTGTGTCTACACTGGTGTGTGTCTCTCTGTGAGTGTGATTACACAAGAGTGTATGTGTGGATGTCTGTCTTTGTGTTCACTTCAAAGTATGTATGTGTGTGTGAGTGTGAGGTGACGTGTGAACACATCCTCCACCCTGATTGTCCACATGTTCTGTGGACCAGTTCACATGTACACGGCTGACCTGCCCCTCCGCTGCCTCCCCCACGCCTGCCCTCCACCCCCAGAGAGACAGAGTAAGCACTGCAGGCAGCCACACAAAAGCCATTTGTACCACTAGGCCCAGCGGCAGCTCTTTGTCTGTGAAGGACCCTTCAGTTCTCCTGCCACCCACCTGCCCGGTGTCCGCTCCACTGCCGTGTGAGGAGAGATGGGTGACAGACAGACCATAGTACCCTCAGCAGGGCCACAGAGGCTGCTGCTCTGGGTCAGGCAGTCTGAGGAGAGCTGGGAAGGGTGGGCTTTGGATACTGGTGGGCCTGAGAAGGTTCATGGACCCTGAGAAGATGCTGCCCCCACACTGGGTACGCTCTCTCTGCCTCCAGCCCATCTGATCCATATCCTCCAACCGGAGACCCCTCTGCCTACGTTTCTGATCAGAACCTCCTGCCATGCATTCTCGGACTCACCCCACCCCACCCTGTGCCTCCTGACCTGTGCCCTCCGACCCACCCAGGTGGAGCTGACCACAGTGGCTGCCCAGGCAGGCACCCTGCTGCACAGCCTGGTGCTGCGGGCACAGGAACTGGTATTGCAGCTGCACGCGCTGCAGTTGGACCGCCAAGAGTTTGTCTGCCTCAAGTTCCTCATCCTCTTCAGCCTTGGTAAGTGAAACCTCTGGCTGGGAGGATAGGTGAGGGGGTAAGGTGGGTAAGGTGCTGAAGGGCTGGGGCAGGGGCTCAAGAAGGATGGCTACAGTGGCCAAAATGGGGGCATGCCCCGGGGTCTTCATGGGGGCAGCCGCCTCTCCGTCAGTTAATGGGGTATGAGGGGACCTGGCTCTTAAAATGACACTTTTTTCATCTGGGCATCTGGTAAATCTCTGACTGAAAGCCCTTGAAAATTATCCATGGCAGTCCAGAAAATACACAATTTCAGGGGTTTCTGGTCTCTGACTCCTCCCTGGGTGTCTTTGTTATTCCTAATTCTCTGTTCTTAGGGTCTTGAGTACATTCTGACTTTGAACTCTTTTGTACTCAGACTTTATCCCCATCCATCCAACCACCCATCCATTTACCTATCCATCCGTCTGTCCACTTACCCACCTATCCATCCATCCATCCACCCACCAACCCACCCACCTATCCCTCCATCTACCACCCACCCATCCAGAGATAGAACCTACCTTCCAGGTCCCCCCAGCCCCTAAATATGGGATGTCTCCTGTGCCCTCCTGACCCCAGCCTAGCCTGTCTCTACACTCTCTCCCTCCTGTGCTGACCTCTGTCACCTTGGAAGCCATCTTCAGCACTTACTCTTTGCTCAGTAGTGCTGTAAACATGGAAGTGTTTCTTGTTTTCCAAAGAAACCACCAGCTCCATGCAGTTAGGGTGGGACAGAGGGCTGGGTATGGTTGGGAGAACGTCGGGGGGTGGGGGGAGCAAGGGCACCTGGAGGGTTCCTTGGGAGAGGAATATCTCAGTAGGGTCTTGGAAAATGCGTAGGAGTTTGTTGGCTAGAGAAGTCTTTTAAAAGTGCAGAAGGCCCTCAGAAAGTTACCAAGGCCACCTTTGATGCTGTCTCCAAGACCTACAGCTACTTGACCCCCAACCTCTGGAAAGAGACTGTGTTCACCAAGTCTCCTTACCAGAAATTCACTGACCATCTTGTAAAGATTCATACCAGAGTCACCTTGGAGAGGACCCAGGCTCCAGCTGTGGCCACCGCATAGTGGATTTTGTATAACAAATAAAGTGAATTAAGTTAAAAAAAAAGCGGTAGGTTGCAACAGAGGGATCTGAGTACTTTATCACCTTTGGACTGAGACATCAGCTTTGCAGCAGATAGCATCACAGTCACAGTGGGTTAGCGTGTGCCCCCCTGCAAGTGAAGGCGTGGGAGGAGCTGGAGAGGAAGGATCCATGCAGTGGTGGAAAGTCTGGTGTTTGGGGAAGCCTGTGGGTATGGAGACTCCCAGGTGTCCTGAGTGTTTTCTCTGTGTTTTGGGATCTGTGCCCTCGATTCTGTAGTTCTGTATGATTGTACATGCAGACTAAGCCCTTTCCTTTACATGTTTGCAGCACTTTATGTTTCACATCATGTGAACAACTGGTATGCAACTGGAGAGTGACTGGGAGATATGGGGATGGGAGGGATTTTGAGGGATAAGCAGTACCTGGGGGCATAGAGCTCTGGAGTGTGGGAGCTGTGGGGGTGATAGTTCCTGATTTGACTCAGGGTTCAGTGGAAAGCCAGGGGATGAGTGGGCTCAAACTGTCTTTGGGTACCCCCTGCAGAACAAGGATAATGCCATGTTTCCCCAGATTACATGACCTGCCTTGCTCCACAATCACTCTTCCCACCAAGGCCCCAGGAGCTGAGTCTGCCAGGCTCAACCAAGCTCTTGCCTCCATCTGGTGATAAATTCAGGACTCTGCCTTCCGTGGGGTGTAAGAAAGGCGGCAGAGTGAGCCCACTCCTTCTCATGGGGCTGGATGGGTTCTCCTTTTTTTCAGATGAGGCAGCCAAGGCCTAAGAGACCTGGAATGACCACAGTGCTTGGATGGATGGGTGAAGGAGGGAGAGAGAGAGAGAGAGAGAAAGAGAGAAAGAGAGAGAGAGAGAGAGAGAGAGAGAGAGAGAGAGAATGTGTGTGTGTGTGTCCATGCATATATGTGCGCACCCACACAGCAGGGTGGAACAGTGGTTAGGAACCAGGTTCCACATCTGGGATCGGATCCCTGTCTCCAGCTGTAAGCACCTGAGCAAGTCACTCATTCCCTTTGCTGGCAGTCATAAAATGGACAGCATAATAGTTCTTCCTTCATGGGGATGTTCAACACTCATAATGTGTATCAGTATTGTTCTGTCATAATCATCATTATGAAATTAATGAGTAGATTAATGAATGAAGCGAATTAATTACCAAGGTCACAGTCTCTTGTCCCCAGTGCTGTGTGTCTCCATGACTCCCAGCATCAGAATAGTTGCTATCTTTACATGATGAGCTTTAAGGTAAGTTTGACATTTTGATGCAGAGACCTGAATCTTTCTGAGGTAGACGGGAAACCCCAGCCTAGCTGGCCAGGAATTCTAGTGAGAAGGAGCTGCCAGGGAGAAAGAGTTTGCTTCTTTCCTGGCACTCGTGGGATCTGGACCTGCCTTGCTCAGGGAACAGGAGTGACTTGGAGGCCTGATGGACCACAGGGGCTTTGGGTGCTAGGGAGTTTGGGAGAAGAGTCCACGTAGTCCAGTGTGGTCAAGTTTGAACCAGAGAGGAGAAATCAACTCTGCCTGGACTATCATTAAGGCTTCTTGGAGGAGGGTCCTCTGGACTGGGCTGTGGAGTACGAGTCTAAGTCTTCTGAGTGAAGCAAGAGCAATAAGGAGGGAGTTCCAGACTCAAGGGAAAGGATGGAATCCTGACGGTTCTGTGTGCTGTAGGGGTTGAAGAAAGGGTGGAGCGATGGGCAGGGAGCTGGGCGGTGCAGGGCTCCGTGTAGGGGGCAAGGCCAAGAACAGGCAACTCATGGGATATGAAAGCAATTCCTTCCTAGGTGAGTCTGTAAATCAAATTTGTCTTGAAGTTGTTGAAGCCTTGCCTGAGTGCATGAAAGGGGCCCTGGAGGCACAGTGAATTACAGTTGGGCTGCTAACTGCCGGTGGTTTGAATCCACCAGCTGCTCATTAGGAGAAAGATGGGCTGTTCCCTCCTATAGAGGTTTTCAGCCTTAGAAACCTGATGGAGGGTTGACATACATTGGGTTCAACTCGATGGTTTAGGGTTTGGATTTGATTTTAGTGCACAAAGGACCCTGGTGGTGTGTTGGTTAAAGCCATGGCTGCTAATTGAAAGGTTGGTGATTAAAACTCCCCAGTTTCTCTGAGGGAGAATGATGTGGTGATCTGCCTCATTAAAGTTACAGCCTTGAGGACCCTGTGGGTCCCTCTGCTCTGCTCTGCTCTGCCCTGTAGGGTCTCTGTGAGTTGGAATTGACTCATGACAGTGGGTTAGTGCAAGAAAAGGATCAGCAGCTTTTCAATGAGTGAAAAGCTGAACATGCAACAAGTGAAAGTGATTGTGAAGAAGAATTTATTGCAAATAGAGAGCTTAGTTCAGTCATTTCTAAGAGAGAGCCAATTTACACAACATTGAAGGGCATGATTGAAGGCAAATTTACATATCATTAGAGAGCAAGTACCATTTGTCCCTAAATCAGAAGTCAGTAATCCACTAGAGACTCTGCCTATACCTGGAACTTCTTTTGAAAAGGATATTAAAGAAGAGAGAATTTCTAAAAAAAATAAAATAATAAAATAAAAAAAATCCAAAGTCCTGTAAGTCAATCCAGACACACACACAGCAACCCTCTACTGGGTTTCTGAGGCTGTAAGTCTTACCAGGAGGACACTGCCCATTTCCCTGAGCTGCTGGTGGGTTTGTAGCCTTTGGTTATCAAAGCACATAATGGACTGTGCCACCAGAGCCAACTGCAGCTTAGGAAATGGATGAAGAGTGGGCATCTGGGAGCCCTGGAGGCTGGATTTGGAGTTAGGATGAATGAAGTGGACAACTACTGGCATAATCTGCCTGGCATTTGGAATTGTGAGGTCTTTTCAGAGGTCTGCCAAGGACCACCAGACCAGAACTGGGACCTCAATCAAAATTAGGCCCAGAGAGAGCTGGCACTTGCTTCTAGGCTCCCAGTCCCTGCTGGGCAGCCTGGATTCAGAGGATGGCTGTTCCTGTCCCCCTCCACCCCTCCCACCCCCCAGCTCACTCAGCCTCTCCTTCTCGCCTGTCTCCACATAAGGGTGCCATTTGGCGTCTAAATAGCCGTCTCGGGTGGGCGCAGAGGCAGGTAAGGAGGTTTAATTAAAATTAGTGCCTCTCTCCTGGCAATCACAGTGTTTATGAAGATGGGCCCGGCTGGCATTGTTCTGCCGAGGACTTAATCGAAGCTTAATGGATTGACCTAACATTCGATTTCCTGATTTCCATTGAGGCGGCAGCGGCAGCATTCCCTTAAGCGTTTGCAATTTACCCACTGCTCTGCGCCAACAAAAGGCGGCCTGAATAGCAGCCCCACTCCAGGGGCCATTGTGCGCGGGGGCGCCTGCCTGAGTCACCGCTATTGGGACAACATTCTTTATGTCTTGCTGGAATGAAAGGATTATTCAAATATTCAATTAAACCGTGAAAAGGGGGCTTTTCTGAGAACATGGGGGCCCCCGCTCCACAGAGCTAGCAGGCTGCTCTCTGAGGCGCTGTGGGAGTATTGGGTGGGGGTGTAAGGGTGGGCATGGGGGTGTACCATCTCTCATCCCCTCCCAACCCCAGGATAGCTAGGAGTTGAGCAGGCAGGAGGATGCAGGCAGGTCTCCTATCTCCATCCTTCCTCCCTCCTAGAGCCTGGAGACATGCACACAGGTATCTCCCTCCCTATGAGGTAATTCATTTGCCCCCATTTTACAGATGACAAAAAAAAACTGAGGCTAAGAGAGGAGGTGACTTGTGCAAAGTCACCGAACTGCTGGTGGAGCAGAGATGTGACTCTGACATGGTCACGTGGGGAGGAGTCCCCAGGTCTGTTTGGCCCTTGCTCCCAAAGGAGAGGGAATGGTGTTCTGTAGGATGATTATTACATCCATTTTTCCATGGAAT